TGAAAATATTATCCCCTTTTTACAGATGAGGAAACTATGGCTCAGAAAGGTTAGGTCATTTGCTCAGTGTCACACAGCTTACAAATGTCAAGGGCAGGATTTGAATGTGTTTCCTTATTACTGCTGAAGTAAGCCCTCTCCATCCTGATTACATAATAAACCACTTAATCTCTCCTTTGGTCCCCTAAAAGTTAAATTGTGGAGAAAATATTGATTTACAAAACCCATGGGCCCTCCCTATCAATTCATTTCTGCTCTGCTGCATGCATTACTTTCTTAAAAGACTTAATGTTGCTCTACAATGTTGCTTGGGGCAGGTATAGCTATAGTCACAATGGATATGAAAGCTATGCTCTAAGGAAGCATTAGAAAGGGCTACAAATCATTAAGTAATTTGCTAAACTCTTTCCAAGTTCATATTACATTTGAATTATCTTTGGATTTATGTAAATAAAGTTAACCTCTCTCATTCAGGTATGAAGACAAAAGATACACCTGATATGAAGAAAAAGTCCACTCCTAAAGGTGCTTGAGATCTGATCTGATTATAGTTCCTGGAAGTACAGCTGCAATTTATTAAACTGTTAATCCTAACACAGTAGAATAGGAGATTTAGGTAGTAGAGAATATTATTAACTGGTACCTCCCTTCAAAGTAAGCTCAGCTCCCATTTCTGTTTAAAGATGAAGATAAGTATTGTCTAAAAATAAAATAAGATTAAAAGAATATTTCACTTAAAATCAGTCTGGTCTAGTTCAATGAATGAAAAAGTCCCCTTTAATCACCTAACATGTACTAAGTATTGTGCTACTGTGAAATAATGTGTTTGAGAATGGGAAATGAGGGAAAGTATAGTACAGACAAGATTTATTTTCCAACAGAGTAAAAGGATGAAAAAAATACACTTTAAGGGGAGGGGAGAGGAGGAAATCTTGATAGCTTCAAAGGCTATTACCTAATACTTTGACTCAATTTATCTTTGTTTCCCTTTAACATTCTGCTTCCAATAACATCTATTTATTTCCTTACACCAATGAAATAGAGCTCTTTATACTAGCACTTGTAACCTTTGAAAGTCATTTTCCGAGCCTAAGTTGCTCTTAAGAAAATCATTCCTTTATTTCATTGGCTTCTGATTCAGATTTCCTGAAACCCATCCCTCAGTAACAACTCAAGGTATTTCAGAACAGAATTCTGAATGCTTTTGCAGTTAACGGATAGTCATTTAAAAATTTCTAGGCATCTACTGGCTGATTTATGTTCAGAAAGTTATTTTCTTTACTGTTATATTGAATTTACTACTATACATTATCAATAATATCTTCTATAAATAACTTTAAAAGGAAACACAGTTTTAAAATGTGAAACAATGTTCATCTTCCATCAAAAAAACAGGTTTATATGCACTAGCACACTATTATAATCAAAAAAAATTCAATTCATTTAAAAAATTATCTACGGGGAATTAGGTAGCTCAGTGGATAGTGCCAGGCCTGGGATCAGGAAAACCTGAGTTCATATCTGGCCTGAGATACCTCCTACTTGTGTGACCTCGGGCAAGTCATTTCACCTCTGTTTACATCAGTTTCTTCATCAGCACCTACTTCCCAGGATTATTGTAAGGATATGAAAAGAAAAGAGAACCCCTGACTTCAAGCAGCTCACAATCTAATGGGGAAAACAACAAGCAAACAAATATATAAAAACCAGCTAAATACAGGACAAATAGGAAATAACTTTAAAGAGGAAAGGCATTAGAATTAAGAGGCTTTAGGAAAAGCTTTCTCTAGAAGACGGGATTTTTGTTGGAACTTAAAGGAAGGCAGGGAATCAGTAGGCAGAGGTGAGGAGGTAGAGCTTTCCAAGCATGCGGAACAACGAGAGAAAATACTCAGAGCCAAGAAATGGAATATTTTGTTCATGGAATAGCAAGGAGGCCAGTGTTACTGGGTTGAAGGGTAGGGGTAGGGAGTAAGGTGTAAAAAGACTGGTAAGGTAGGAGAGGGCTAGGTTATGCAGGGCTTTGAAAACCCAACAGAGGATTTTGTTTTCTATCTTGGAGGTGACAGGGAGCCACTGCAGTTTATTGGGGAGGGGATGGGAATGACATGATCAGAACTGTGTTTTAGGAAAATCCCTTTGGTGGCTGAATGGAGGATTGATTAGAGTCGGAGAGATTTGAGGGAGGCAGAAACACCAGCAGGCTATTGCAATAGTCTACTCATGAGGTGATGAAGACCCACACTAAACTGGTGTCTATGTCAAAGGAGAGAAGGAGGAATATTGACAGGCTATGGCAGCGATTCGGCATGAGGGGTGAGAGATAGTGAAGAGTTCATTCTGACATCTACTTTGTGAGCCTGAGGACTAGGAGGATGGTATTGCCCTCTACAGTAATAGGGAAAGTAGGAAGGACAAGGACAGAGAGTTTAGGAGAAAAGATAATGAATTCAGTTTTGAACTTGTTGAGTTTAAGATGTCTTCTGGCTGTCCAATTTAAGATGTCTGAAAGGCAGGTGCAAGATTAAAGGTCAGGAGAAAAGTTGGGAGAGGATAGGTAGATTTGAGAATCATTAGCATTGAGATAGTAATTAAATGCATAGGGGAGGACTAGATCACCAAATGAAGTACTATAGAGGGAGAAGAGAAGATCCAGAACAGAACACTGTGGTACATCTATGGTTAGAGAGCATAATCTGAATGAGGATCCAGCAAAGGAGACTTAGAAGGAGTGGTTAGACAGGTAGAAGGAAAGCCAGGAAGAGAGTGGTGTCCTAAAAACCTAGAAAGAGAATATCAAGAAGATAATCAATAGTGTCAAAAGCTGCAGAAATATCAAGGAGAATGAAAGAATTGTGAAAAGACCATTAGATTTAGCAATCAAGAGATAGTTGATAACTTTGAAGACAGCAATTTCGGTGGAATGATGAGGTTAGAAACCAGATTGTAAGGAATTAAGAAGAGAATGAGAGGAGAGAAAGTAGAGGCATCTATTGAAGATGGCCTTTTGAAGAGCTTAAACACAAAGGGCAGAAAAGATATAGGATGATAATAGGGATGGAAGGATCAAGTGAAAGTTTTTGTTTTGCTTTTTATTTTTACAAGGAGGAGGCATAAGCATATTTATAGGCAGTAGGGAAGAAGCCAGCAGACAGGGAGAGAGTGAAAATACATCATAAGAGTAGAGATGACAGAGGGGGCAATCTGTTAAAGACAGGATGGAATGAGATTGCTTGTGCAGTTAGAAAGCTTAGCTTTGGTAAGGAGTAAGGCCACCTCTTCATGTGAGACAAGGGTGAAGGAGGAGATAGAGGCAGAAGGTATCTGAGTGATAGGAGATGAGGAAAAGGGAAGAAGAGAAAGCTTGTAGCCTCAACTTTTTCCCTAAAATATGAGAAAGGTTCTCAGCTGACAAGTTGTGGGAGGGGCAGCTATGGGAAATTTGAGGAGGGATGAAAAGGTTTGGGAGAGACACTATGGAGAGTTGGATATTGAGGTGATAATGTAGGATTGCCTAGCAGCAGTGAGGGTCCAGTTAATTGTGTAACAAATCTATAGTGAACCCAATCAGAATGATTGTGTTAATTTATCCTCCTTTGTTCAGCAGCAGTAGGAGCAAAGGCATTGGATGGTGGGAGTGATCCAAAGCTGAGGCTTGGCAAGGCAAAATCAGTGTTACAATAAGTTTCTAGAAACTCAAGACAAGAGGCCAATGTAGAATTGAACTGGCTTACCAAAGGATCAAGATGGAGAAAAAAGGAGAGAAAGTGGAAGTGCAAGGGAGATGGCCTGGGAGAGAAGTTGGGGGTGGAGGGATTAAAAGTCACATTATGGACAAATAGGTTTGGTGAGGGAAGGCAGAAGGAATGGTGGAAAGCCAATAGATTACAGTCAGATAAAGGGATTTTTGAATTTTTGAATGTGGAGATAGGGGTACATTTGTTGGTGATGGCAAGATCGAGGTATGACCATCTTTGTATGTGACTGAGGTAAGTTGGAGGAGTAACTCTTTGCTAGTAAGTAGATTGAGGAACTGGGTGATTAGGATATTTGAAGAAGAGAGTCAATATGTATGTTAAAATCCCCAAGTATAAGGGCAGGAGTTGAGGGGGAGAAAAAAATTATGAGCCATATACCAAACTCATTGAGGAAGAAAGGAGAGTGACCTGGAGGTCTGTAGACAAAAGCTGCTAGAATTTTGATTGGGTGGTAGATATGAATTGCATGAACCTCGTAGGAGGAAAGGTTACTTAGTGATGTCAGTAGGGGGAGAACCTGAAGTGCCAATGGGGAGCAAGGAGTAGTCCAACTCCTTTCCTTGAGGATTTGTGTCCCTGTGAATCAACAAAAGTAAGTACTTTTCATCCATTTTGATGTCTTGTGAGGTCCTCTGTTATGCTTTGTATACACGCCCCTGGAAGAAGGCAAACCTCTCAATTTGTTGTCATCAGGTTGACAAATGGCTGCCTCCACATCCCTAAGGGAGGAATCACCATCTACTACTACTCTTATCTTCTTCTGACACTCACTGATGATCTATCACTTTATAGAATGTATTTTCTGGGTATCTTGCAAATCTAATTTAAAGGGCTTTAAACTAAAAAGAGAGGGAGAAGACTGCTTATGTATATCTTCCAAGTTAGATAACAGAGAGTAGCTACATAGAGGAAAGAACAGCAACTAAGACATCCTGAAGTTCATAGCACATGCAAAAAAAGCAAAAGCCATGGCATTTCATGCCAATAAATAAGTGTTCAAAGTCAATTGTGTGGCTCTACTGTATCATTCTTTAAAGGACATGCAGTTTTTTCCTCAGAGCATCTAGCTTCCCCCTACTCACTTTTCAGTAATATCAAATCTAAGTTTTAGTTTTGCGTATATAATTTGTCCTTTTCCTTCTCTTTCTCCTCAGCATAACACTTCCACTCTCCAAAATCCTGACAAAGGTCATCTCCACTCTTCCACTTCAGATTCCCTTTGTTTTTCCATTGAAGACTTACTTCTTTTTCCTTTAGGAACACTTCATTCTTCCTAAAATCCTGAAATATGGAGAGACATTCTTCTATTCTCCAGGAGGAAGATCGGCTTACAATTGGAACACAGATATGTCAATTGACTATGGCAGAAATATAAATAACACAAAAATTTAATGTAAGTCACAGCACAATTTTCCCTATTCCATATAATGGTTGAGATTTTCATTCCTGATTGTTTTTAAACTAATTGTGAGAGTCTATCACCTCAATCCAAAACACCTAGTTAAAACATTTGCTGCAAATCATAACCTCTTAATAACTTGACAAGGGCAGCTAGGTGGATGTCCACAGCACAGGGGTGCTGTGGATAAGAGCACAGGGCCTGGAGTCAGAAAGACCAGAGTTCAGACACTTACTAGCTGTGTGACCTTGGGCAAGTCACTTAACCTCTGCCTGCATAAAACTGAAGAATTAAACGGCAAACCACTCTAGTATCTTTGTCAAGAAAACCCCATGGTCAGTTGGTCCATGGAGTAACAGAGTCAGACATGACTGAACTACTCAACAACAACAACAACAAATAACTTGACAGCCCTACTCAACTAGCTTTCCTTAGTTTCAACTGCTCATCAGTCATGCCCGCTTACCCTTTAGCCTTGCATCAAGCTCCCATTTCACCAATTTGTCCCACCCACTAATCCACTCCATGAATTTGCTTTACCCTCTAATTGTTCCACTTAACTTTTTCTTACTTACTTTGCTTTATCTTACCACTGTTTTATCCTAATTCTCTTAGGGTCTACTCCACTCTTTAAAGCTCCTTGAATGCTTTTTAATCCTTTTATGTTCTCTTTAATTATCCTTGATCCTGCTCTATTTTCAACCCATAAATAGAATCTGGACAGGGAGATTGTTATGCTTAAGTTTCTCACAAATTTCACCAAATTTCCTATCCTCAAATTTAACCTCTGACCTTCAATGTCAGGTCCAATTTCCTTCTCCTTCTTTTGGGTGTCAAGTCCTCCATTTTTCTTCCGTTCTTTCCACAGTCTTTTTCCACAAAAGCCAGAAGTACATGTGGATTGAGTGTAATTTACTTCTAGGTAGTCAATGATTAAGTAAGAATGAAGAACAAACAGCAACCTCTTTGAGTAGAAAAAGAGCTTTCCACTGGGGACCAGAGGGACAACAAGCCTTCTTTCCTTCCTTCCTTCCTTCCTTCCTTCCTTCCTTCCTTCCTTCCTTCCTTCCTTCCTTCCTTCCTTCCTTCCTTCCTTCCTTTCTGTCTTTTTCTTTCTTTCTTTCTTTCTTTCTTTCTTTCTTTCTTTCTTTCTTTCTTTCTTTCTTTCTTTCTTCTTCTTCTTTCTTTCTTTCTATTTCTTCCTTTCTTTCTTTCCCTTCTTTCTGTCCACATAGGGTATCACACCTGTAAAGAGGCCATATTTTGCTTCATTTCTTTTTAAACCTTAATCACTCAATGGGCATTGCCTCAGTCAAACTGAAACCTGTTAAAGACCTTAACTTGAAAAGACCAAGGTCCCCCACTGCATCCTGAGCCATCTCCAGTTGTACTGATCTATATCTGGCCATTGGACCCAGATGGCTTCAGAGGAGAAAGTGAAGCTGGTGACTTAGCACAGGACTCCCTCACTTAAATCCAACTCACTTGCATGTCATGGCATCAACTCCCTGATGTCATGCTCCTCTTTGAGAACGAAGGACAAGCAATAATAGAGGGACCAGGAGAATGAGCAATGGTGTGAGTTTACTAGCCATAAAGGGAGCAAATAGAATTAAAATGCCCAATCTCAACAGGGTGGTATTGAAGAACAAAGATCTACTTTTCTCTTTTGGCTGGGTGAAGGCAGGGCTGAGGTCTTTCAGGGAGAAAAAGAAGAATCTACTGGGCCTTGGTTAGCTAGCTTGAGTACTTGCTCTGAGGCATTGTGCTAAGCATTGGAGATAAGCAAGGCAAGAAGTATTCATTAAACACTTACTATGCTTGCCAGGTACTGTGCTAAGTACTATCAATATAGACCTAAACAAAAAAAGAAAGATAATTCCTTCCCTCAAGGAATTGATATTCTAAAAGAGAAGAGGGGAGGAAAATAAGTCATAGAGATAAAAAGTAGTGAGGGAAGGGCAAAGGGTACTTGATGTCAAAGTCTCAGAGAGTTGGAAGCACTGGCAGGAGAGGAATCAAGTGTGCCTAGATTGGATCCTTTCCCAAAATGGAGGCCCTGTGAGCAAGTCAACAGTGGGACAAGACATGGTGGAGTGATGTTGAGAAGGTGAGAAGGCTATAGAGGAAGATGGATGTCCAAGATGAAAAGGCCCAAGGGGATGAGGGAAATTCCAGTGTTAAATGGTATTTCAGGCTCTGTGGCAAAGTCCAGAAAGTCAAAAGCAAAGCTGCAAGGGGAATGAGAAAAGACAAAAAGGAAAACAGTCTATGCCTCTAAGAAGCTTCTATTTTACAGAGGGAAACAAGTCAAGACACTGAACCTCTTTCAGGTGGTTTCCTTATCTTAAGAGTGGGGATAATACTACTCCCAGTAAATACTTCACAGGGTTTGGAATTTAAAATAAGGTAATGTATTTAAAGCACTTTATAAACTATAAAGTGCTATGCATATAGCAAAAAGGGCAATCTGCAGGTAGTAAGAAAGAGAGGGTGGACCCCCACATGTAAAGAGGGTTCCATGTATGATGATGGAGCTTGTAGTTGTGTATGGTTTGAAAGGAGGCAGAATAGACATCTTGACTCTTTTCTCTCACCTTTCTCTAAGAGAGACTCCTGCCAAGAGGAGAAACAGGAGTTTGGGGCCAAAGACCACCATTCTGCTCTCCTCAGAAAGAGGGAGTATTTTAGAATTATATCTATCTGTTCTCTTAAATATTGTTGGATGTGATTGGGTTCAAGCTAACTTTTGATTACTTTGTCATTTTATGGTAAAGGAAGACCCTAAGCTCTATATCCAAGGCTTGACCCTTTCCTGCAAAATACCAGCTCCACAATGAATACACATAGCAAAAAGCAAAGAAATCTATTTATCCAAATCATAGTAAAACAGAATTTAGAGAAGGAATAGATAGGAGAATGTATGATAGACAATACAGAGTGGAGGAGCTTTTCCATTGGGAACGAGGTAGTAATTCTGCTTAACTAACAGAGACTGTCCTTGATCTCACCCAAGACGAAAATTCCCTAAAGTCTAGAGACTTTAGTTTAGAGTAGCAAACTGGGAATAGGGATACGATGGAGACTACCTTCTCCTCTCATGTCTTTCCAGAGTCTTTTCCTTCATCAATCTGAGGTTGGATTGGCCTCTATTATCTTTCTCTCGAAGCTAGAAATTGGAAAATGCTATTATGCTCAAACACTTAGAGAGCGCTGAAGGAAGACTCGTGCTTGAAGGTGGGAGCTCTCTAGCCTTCATCTCCACCAATAAGGAGAAAGTTACATACCAATGGGCTTTAGGACCGGGGTTACATATAAATGATAGGCTAAATTAATAATTAGTCAACTGGACCAAACCAGCCTCTAACTTGTGGATGACCAGAGCTGAACAAAGCAGACTAGAACAGGAAAGTTAGAAATCAAACAGAAGTTTAATTTCAAATTGAGGGAAATGGCTTCCAAGCAAAGAGGTAAATTGGACACATGTGCCAGTGCTCCACCCCTAGTGAGGAGACCCACTTTAGTGTAGGCAGATCTCAATACTTATACCTATGTTACTCAGTGAGCTACAGCCTTGACAATAAGGAGTAACAGCAATAATGTAACAAGTTTGATTCATAGCAGGGTTTCATGACCAGAACTAGTCTTGTGCTTATCCAAGCTCAGAGAACACCTGGAGCTGGTCAAAGTAATACAATAATTGTATGATTTTGCCAGAGCGTGAGATCATCTAGAGGGTGAACACAAAGGATTGCTGTTATGCCAAGCTCAGGACACAGCTTGCTTGCTGGGCCTTAGCTCTGGAAAACAGGATGTCTCCTAATGTTTTGACATTTCCCCCTTTTGGCCAAAGGGAGGGGGTCTAAAAGGACCACTGCCCCTCTGACCAATAAAGAAGAGACAGTATAAGCCAAGATGCCATGAGAGGCCAGTTGGGCCAGGACAAGATGTTGCTCAGAGAGTTAGTTCCTTGAAGAATCCTATTGGGGAAACGTGTCCCAGGTATCATTGCTTGCTGTTGTTTGCTTGCAAGCAGAAAAGAGAGGGGGGTCAAGGATATAGAAGGAGAGAATGCCAACACACACTTGAATCAGGGCCTTGGTGATTGGGCACATAACAAAATGGAAGAGGAAAAACAAAATAAAACAAAACTAGGACTTATACTCAGCCCCATCTGGGATCCTGAGACAGCTAGCTGTCTCATCTGAGTGTTGGCTGGTTCTGGGTCCATAGCAGAAGAACCTTGAGGTCCCTGGAGGGTTCTGCTGTCCACTCAGGAACAGGAGTTTTCTTCACATGATTCAGAAGTCCAAACACATAAGTTTGGCAGCAGTGGAAATAGTCAGAAGGACCTGGTAGAGACACTTAGCTTGAGATATAGAATTGTGAGAAAACTCATTGCATCTATCTTTGGATCTGAATTTCTGGGCAGCATCCTTGGTCAAAAGTTTCTAAATAGCATACAGAGATGGTCTAGTTTCCCAGCCATGAAGAGCTAGCTTCAAACAATGCAATAAGGTTTTCTCAAAAATCTCATAATTGCATAATTACATTGTCAGGTACTGATCAGACTACTTAAAGGGCTCATAATGGACTAATTTTGAGAAGGGAAGCACATGTCACCAAGGTAACCAAGAAAACTTAAACACAAAATCAAGTCTTGTATCCTAGTGACTCATTCTGATGCCCATCTAATCGGCGCATTTTAAGTCCCAGATGTCTCATGTAGTTATCTGGTCCCTAGATATCTTTGCTTGGACAATAGACTTTACTCTCAGGGCAGCTCTGAAAAAGGCTCTGGTCCTCTGATTCCAGATCTAGAGATTCCTAGATAATTCTGCATGTAACCAAATAATACAATTTAGTAAATTTGATCTCCAATCTTGAAACCAGAGAATTTCAGTTTATATATCATTTGCTGTTTCTATCCTTATCTAAATCCTGTACCTGATATAATAATCTTTTAAAAAATTCATGAGGGTCCAACCATAAAATGAGCTCTTTTGCCTTTTAAAATTATCATGCAGACACTTTTAAAATTTTTTAAAAAATATTTCACTTTCTTAACCATTATCAATACAATTTATGTGTAAACTCCTTAACCCGTTTTTGAGAACTTATTCTTAAAACATACTCAAATCCTGAATGACAGATAAATTTGGAAGCCAGTCATATACATCTATATATAGTTCTTTTAAAAAACAGTCTAATCCTGTTGCATTCTCAAATTTTTCTATTCGATTTATTTAGAAAACTTTCACATTACATCTTTGCTTTATTACTTTGTTTAATCATTTCCCCCTTAGGAGGACATCATCCCTATATTATAAATTGGCCACAAATACAGGTTAAAATTGGCACCCTATAATAGTAACTCAGAGGTGTTTCAGTATCAATGAATAGATTTAGTATTGTACTTAGGAAACTTTTTGACTACAGAAATTTGCTATAACAGGAAAAAGAGAGACATAGTTATAATAATGTCATATATTATAACAGAGATGAAAATTCCCTTAGATATGTTTGATTCCAGGCATGAATCATATCTGACAGCCAATCATGTAGTTGCAGGGTGTTAAAAGAAAGGCTAAGGATTAACCAGCTGGAGAAATTTCCTTTTCAGAAAGGAAATAGCACAATGGGGAGATAGAGTCAGAATGATCCTACCTTGGGCCTTTGGGGTCTTTGTCCCCAAAACTTTTTCCAGGCAAAAACATCCACTTTTATCAGTTCCCAGGCTGTGGAACATATCATTTTCTAACATTGGCTTCATGGCAATTCAGAAAACTATCCATGCAATCAAAACTCAAAACAACAGTAAGTTACAATCCCAGGAATTTTGATCTTAAATAGCAAAATTTCACTAACCACAACTTAGGACTTGAATAATTTTCCTGATGTTTCCCTAACAGTTAACATTTAACTTGTCCTTTACTTATAAATTCAAACTAACCATATTCTGGGGCTTCAGAGGTACAGGAAATACCTGATAGTTTACTCATCATTAATATGTTGAAGCTACATCTTTAAGCCATCTCATACACTTTCATAATAGCCAAGAATTTTCAAATAAAAATTTGCCATTATATATTATTATTATCATCTGCTTTATAATAAAATGTACCTCATTAAGTATTTAACAGTTTTCAAATATCTATTTTATTACATCTTTTTTAAAAGTTCAATTCATGTATAATAGCATCCAAATTAAAAAGTTATTCATTTAATAGCACTTCTGTTACAATGATCTCTCAAATTTCACAATGTAAGAGAATTTACAATTACAATAATAATATAAACAGAACTTCAGATGATATCAATTGCATTTCCAAATTATCCCATACAAAAAATCATTGATCTTTAAAATTGGCATCTTAAACCCATTTTAGAGTTATCTGGTATTCAACAATTACATTCAATTAAAGAAATAATAATAATAACATAGTGCTTAGCACATGGCAATCACTGTGTTAAGCTCTTTACAATCATTATATCATTTTGATCCTCACAATAACCCTTGGAGAAGGGTACCATTATTATTTTTCTCTTTACAGATCAGGAAACTGGAGCAAATAGAGATAAGATAACCTGCTTGAGATTACATGAGTAACAAATTTCTGTAACTGGAATGTAATTCAAGTTTTTCTACATTTTCCCAGCATTTTTTCAACGTCTTTATTTGGGAACCTGATCTGAGATGATCAAGGAAGGGTTAACAAGAGATGGCTATAAAATACAAACCTTTTACCTATTTTTTTTCCCCTTTCTTCACTCTGGGACTACTTCTAACCTAGCTGCCTTCCTTCATCGCCCTAGAACAATGAAGCTCTTAATCTTGCCATTTACTTTTAAAACTTTTAGAATTTAATTCTTATTTTTCCTTAAAACAAATTCCACAGAGTGCTACCCCAAAACTTACTAAGATATTTCAGAAGGAAGTGAGTTCTGGGAATACTCGAAGTCTCAGGAGTTCTCCCCTGCAATCTTAAAATGATAAATCTTCAAACTCCTTAATGATTAATCTTCAAACCTCCAAAACCTGCTAAGATGTTTTTAGTCATTCTACAAATTTATCTGACTTTATTGCTGTAATTCAAACATAACCAAAGCTGAAGTGACAGGGAGGAAAAGTGTCCTGAAGATTTTTTTTCTTATAACCTAATCTTTTACTGAGAGCCTAAAGTAAAAGTTAGTTCTACTTACTGGGACAATTGTTTCAAATATGAAAGTTAATTAATCTTTACCAGTGTTCTAAACTCTGGCTACAGCATTTAGAAGTTTTTCTGGCTGGCTGCATTTTAAATCTTTCAGGGTAACAGAATCTACAAACAACATAGACATGACACAGACATTTTACATTTTACAAAGACATAACACAGACAAAATGACAAGACAGATACAAACATACACAAACAGTTCTAAAAAAGCACAGTTACAATCCACAGGCTAGCATGCATTTATTGGTTTCACAGAGCTAACTGAACACTGGGGTGGGTGGGGGGAGGGGTTTGAAACCAGAACAGAGCAGGTAAAAGCCTCCTACCCTGCAGAAGCTAGAGCCAAACAGAGAAGGTAGGAGCAATTGGTTATGGGAACAGAGCATGCAGAAAGGATATCTGAGAATGAATTGGGTCACCAGAGGGCCCCAGAGTTTTGCTCACAAAGTATGGCAAGCTTGACTAAGGCAGGAGCTTGGGCACTGGAACAGCAAGGGCAGAGGATTCACCAGATGAATGGGTGTTGGACTGTGGAGAAATAAATTTCTAGTGGGGCTTGATCCGTTCCTGCTGGTACTGGAGAGTCTAATGGCCTGGTTCCATGTCCAATCCCACTTCTGACACCAGTTAATAACTGGACCAAAAGGGCTTCTAACCTATGGATGTCCAGAGCTAAACAAAGCAGTCTAGAGACAGGAGAGTTAGGAATCAAACAGAAGTTTAATTTCAAAGTGAGAGAAATTGCTTGCAAGCAAGGAGGTAAATTAGATATATGTGCTGGGGCTCTGCCCTAGTGGGGGACCCACTTTATTGCAGGCAGATCTCAATACTTATACTTATGGCTACTCAGTGTGTTATAGTTCTGACAATGAGGAGTTAACAGCAACAATGTGACAAGTTTGATTCATAGCAGGGCTTCATGACCAGAACCTGTCTTGTGCTTGTCCAAGTTCAGAGAACACCTGGTGCTGGTCAAAGCAATACAATAATTATGTGATTTTGCCAGTGGGTGAGATCATTCAGAGGGTGAGCACAAAGGAGTCTTGTCATGCCAAACTCAGGACACAGCTTGCTTGCTGAGCCTTAGCTCTGGAAAACAGAGTATATCTTAATATCTTGACAGAATGAACAAACACATATACATATATAGACACACATATATATTTATAGAATTCAAATAATTTCAATTTGCAATTTATTATAGTGTATTTTGACCCATTTTGAAATAGATCTTAAGGCTTAGATTCTTAAAATCTAGCCAATAACTCACTAACATTCAGACTCCTTAAGAGTCTGCCCAATATGACTGGATGTTCTAATAAACCTTGTCTTTGGCTGAAAGAAAGCTGAGGTTGAATTCTTTTGGACAGGACCCACGTGTTGTGATTTTGGGGTCCCAGCACCCCTCAACCCCTAAACCTCATTATTTTGGTGGCCTGTACGGGGAAACTGCCTAACCTGAGTACTTCTCTAGCCAAGAGAAGGTATATAAGCCTCCCCCCCCCCCGCCTTTCTTGCTCTGCAGTTGGAGTGACTGTCTAAGTATCAAGGCTTGGAGGTGCTTTTCAGGAAGATAGTTAAGAGGCTGTCTCACACTTGGCCTGAAACTCTCAGGCTCTTGGTCCACTGGGTCAGTTTGAGGCCACGGACCTAGGTCCACCTTCCACAGCAAAGAGGACAAGGATAGATGCCCTATCTGGAAGTGTATGCCCAATTCTCTCAGTTCTCTCGGCACTAGAGAATTAGAGAAAACTGCAGTTGCTTTTTGATTCCCTGAGGTTTATTTATTCCTTTTCCTCTGCACCCCTGAATTCTCCTTCATGGAGGTTACAGGGAAAGTTAGAACAGCTAAAAATATCTTGGCATGTTCTGGAGGTTTAGCAATTGATCATTAAGGAGTTTGAAACTCCTCCTTACAATGCTGGTCACTCTTTTCTCCCTCTCTTCACTTGAGTCAAGAGAGTATTTGTTAACTCCTTTCATAGGAGAAAAGAGTTTCACCCCTTACTCTTCACCTTTGATTTTACCCTCCCCCACTTGGAAAAGGAAGGTGGGAGGACAGGCAGCAGCTACAGCATGGGCCTCCCTGGCAATGGCCTTGGGCCCTCAGGCAACCTTTGCCTGGAAGCATCACCCAGGTTCAGCATATCCTGCTCAAGGTAAAGAAGCTAGCCTCCAAACACTCTTCTTAAAGTTGTAGTTTCAACTGTTAATGATGAGATGTTGATTCTCTGGGTAAAGTAATTTGGAAATGAATTTAACAAAATTGAAGTCACCTGATTGGTAATGGGTTTGTTTCAAATTGGTGAACTTTTTGTATCAGTTATGTCAAGCAACTTTTCATAATTTGGTTACTGCTAAATAATTTGGCTATTATTGGTTATTGTTTTGATGTGTAAACTAGCCAAAAAGCTTGTTTAGGTTATATACGGCTTGCTGAGAATTTGCAAGTGTATAGAAATCTCTAATGATTGGCTTTTTACACCAGGACAAATTTAAGTTTGAGATGTAAATCCTGGAAAAATTTTTCCTAAGCTGTGATTAGTGAAACTTGCTGTTTGAGGTAAAAGCTCATAGGATTTTATTTTGAGTTGTTTGATGGGTCATAATCCATTGATAATCAATAATCCACCATCTGAGAGAAATGCCACAAGCTGCTCAGAGAATGCCTTACTGGTGGGAAGTCAGCTTCAGGGAAAAAGCTGAGAGGACAGTTTTATCCTTAGTCTAAGATGGGATCTTCCGGGCTCAGTTTCCCCTTTATGTTCCTTTGAAAAGGAATGTTACCCACCTGGTTATTCCTAAGTCAGGCTATGAGGTAAATTTGATACTGCATGAATTTGCTGAATCCAAACAGAGCTAAGGATGTTTTATCTCTCATATTTGGGCCCTAAATCTAGTTCCTGCTTTATATCTTGGTCCTGAAGTCTTTTCTGTCAGATTTATGTCTTCCAGACTACAGGCCATTCACCTTCAGTTGGTAGCAAACAGCGGGTACCAGCCAACATCCTCCTATCATTCCCTGGATGCAGCCTGTGCTCATTTCCAGTCAACTTCCTTTTTGGGCCCCCCTCAAGGCAGGGATAGCTCTATGGCCCTTGCCAGCAGGAAGCAGTTTCAGAAGCCAAGACCTTCTCCCCTTACCCCAAAAGAATTTGGGTCCCATTTGTTTGAAGTGGGGATAATGAAGATGAGATCTGGACCCCAAAAAGGAAAAACCCTGGACTTTTCCACATGGCCAAATCTCTGGCATTTGTCTGAGGCTATAATCCCATCAAATAACCTTTCATTGTAGCTAGACCCAATCTCTCAATTCTGTTACCCTTAATCTAGCCTAGTCCTCCATTGTCTTACCTCCTATGGCCCCTGGCCATTTCCCACCCTAATCCTAGTTAGGCTCCATTCTCCAGGTCCCTAGTATTCTATTACCTCACAGTATCAACCCCCCCCCCAACTACTTGGACACTCCTAGATCCTTCCTACAGTCTTTCTGTATGTAAGGTCCATCTTGTCTCCATTAAGATGCTTAGATTCTTAAAATCTAGCCAATAGCTTCACTAACATTCAGACTTCTGAAGAGTCTGACCAAATATGACTGGATGTTCTAAGAAACCTTGTCTTTGGCTGAAAAAATAAGAAATAGGTTTTAAGAGGTTTTTTTTAAAAAAAATATTTGTTGACTTTTGTGGTTAAC